GAGGCTGAGGCAGGCAAATCATTTGAGGTCAGGAGTTCAAGACCAGCCTGACCCACATGGTGAAACCCTGTTTCTACTGGAAAAAAAAATCAAAAATTAGCCTGGCATGGTGGCGCATGCCTGTAATCCCAGCTACTTGGGAGGCTGAGGTAGGAGAATCAATTGAATCTAGGAGGCGGAGGTTGCAGTGAGTCGAGATCATGCTACTGCACTCCAGCCTGGATGACAGAGTGACACTCCATTTAAAAAAAAAAAAAAAGACCAGAGTTGGAATTATTCCCAGCTCCCAACCTATCTTCCTAGCCCAATTCTGGAAACTCTTTATCTTGCCCTCCATTTGGTCTGGCAGTGGGGGTGGAACTGAATGGAGCTCAGAAATCTCCCAAGGTTGGCCGGCCACCATGGCTCACACCTGTAATCCCAGCGCTTTGGGAGACTGAGGAAGGAGGATCATTTGAGCCCAGGAGTTTGAGACCAGTCTAGGCAACATAGCAAGCTATGGAAAAACAAAAAACAAAAAAACAAAAATTAGCTGGGTGTGATGGCTCAGGCCTGTTAGTCCCAGCCACTTGGAAGGCTGAGGTGGGAGGATTGCTTGAGCCCAGGCGTTCCAGGCTGCAGTGAGCTATGATTTCACCACTGCACTCCAATCTGGGCAACAGAAAGAGACCCCGTCTCTAAAAATAAATAAATAGGCCGGCACGATGGCTCACGTCTGTAATCCTAACACTTTGGGAGGCCGAGGTGGGCAGACCACGTGAGGTCAGGAGTTCGAGACCAGTCTGGCCAACATGGTGAAACACTGTCCCTACTAAAAATACAAAAATTAGGCCGAGACGGGCAGATCACGAGGTCAAGAGATCGAGACCATCCTGGCTAACACGGTGAAACCCCGTCTCTACTAAAAAATACCAAAAAAACCTAGCCGGGCGAGGTGGCGGGCGCCTGTAGTCCCAGCTGCTCGGGAGGCTGAGGCAGGAGAATGGCATAAACCCAGGAGGCGGAGCTTGCAGTGAGCTGAGATCCGGCCACTGCACTCTAGCCTGGGCAACAGAGTGAGACTCCGTCTCAAAAAAAAAAAAAAAAAAAAAAAAAATTAGCTGGAAATTGCTTGAACCCAGGAGAGGGAGGTTGCAGTGAGCAGAGATCGTGCCACTGCACTCCAGCCTGGGCAACAGAAGGAGACTTCTTCTCAAAATAAATAAATAAATATAAATAAAAGAAGTTGCCCAAGATGGGGGTACAGGGAGCCTCTGGAAAGGCCAGGGACACACAAAACTTCACCCACACCTCAAGGATAGGTCCATCCTCCGCTGCCTGGCACCTGCTGACTTTCCAGGGCTCATTCCACCACGCATTCTGTGCCCATCTTCTCCATGATGAAGGGAGCGCCCAGAGAAGGCTCCCTGCCTTGCTCCTTGTGCACTGGAGGCACATCCTCAGTGCATCACACTGCACCTGACAGGTAAGGGCATATAAGGTGCGTGCTATGAGTTTGGGGCATAAATGGAATGAAGACGTGCACCGAGCAATGAAATGAACAGCAGGGTTGTGCATCCTATACCGAGTGAGCTCTAGGAAAACACGGGCTGGGGGCGCCTGGTGGGCAGTGACTGTTTGGCGTTGCCCTGACCTGTCCAGGAGCCTGAGGCAGGGCACTGGGCCTGAGGTAAAGGGAAGCTGAGCACTGGGGCGAAGCAGAGCCTTCAGGATGGTGAGGCTGGGGGCCCAACCGAGGCGGTGGGCGCAATACATGGAAGACACAGAGAGGGGGACAGACAAGGCACAGGCAAGCCCAACTGTGTCTGACGCTGGGATGCTGGAGATGCTAGGCGTACAAAATGTGGAGTCCCAGATACGCAGGAGAACACTGGGTGCCCTAGGTATAGAGCACCCTGGGCGTGCGGGTTCTCTAGCACAGGGTGCACAGAAGGTGGGGCGTCCGGGTGCAGGGTTCACAGAACATGGGGTACTCGAGGCGCGTGGCACCGTGGGCGTGGAGGTCCCGTGGGACGGAATGCACAGAGCGTGGGATGCCTCAGGCGCGGGGCTCATGGGGATCCCAAGGAGCAAGGTGGGAGGCTGGAAGCGAGGAGCGCGCTAGGAGCAGGGTGTCCGAAGCGCGGGTACCGACCCGGGCAGCGCGGGGCACGCGGCGCGCAGGCGAGTCTGCGTGCGCGCGCGGACGCCTTGGTTCCCGGAGCCCAGTTGCTGGCGCGGCCTCCACTGCGGCTGCGCAGCCGAAGGTCTGAGGGGTGCCAGGGCTCTTTACGCGCCCCCCAGTCTCCTCGCACTCTTTGCCTGCTGAGCACGCCGCTCACAAGTCCAGGAGACATGGATCAGATGGAGGCTGGAGAACCGATCCCAACTGAGACCAGGGGGTTTTAGAGGGTCTAGAAAGGGGTGAGGGGTTGGGGTGAGGGGGTTCCGACTGGGGTTTCCCAAACTGAGCTGAGGGTGCCTTAAAGAATGTTGTTGCTTTCCTTCATGTAAGTAAAGGCCACTCCTTTTCGCAGCCTCTGGAGAATGCAAGTTAAAACCACCTCCTCGGCTTGCTCTGTAGGGGGAGGTGCATGGGCTGCTCAGGGCTGGAGGGTGCGGTGGGGGCAGAAGGCCTGGAGCAAGAGAACAAGGAGGTGACCAGCTTTTTCTGAGCGTCAAGTTCTGGTCCCTTTTCGGTACCGCTGGGTTTATAGAAATCTGGCTGCCTGGAGTGTCCAGCATCTCAAGGCCTTTATGGGTCTTACTTGGTGTTGTCAGTATCTCAAAGTGGGAAATCGAGGCATAGAGAGATGGGATGCCCTCCTCCATACCCAATGAATCTGCAGTCAACCACAGATGGATGAGATCCTTTTTGCACTCACCAACTCCTACTTTATACCTCTTTGGTCCCCCAGGTCCAGGTGTCCAGCCTGGCCACCCAGATTCAAGGCTGGACTGCTCTGCAGCCATGAAATCCTGGGCATGAAGGAGGAATGAAAGTAACCCATCCCTCCACTCTGAAGTTCTCTGGGGTCACATTTGCCTAGGTTCTGGCTTTTAAGAATCCCTTCCCAGTACTGAAAAGACAGCTGTCCACAGAAGGCGGTGGAGGGTGACAGGCTGCCACAGCAGTGGCACGTAGTCACCCGGCCAGCCTGGAAGTCTGGTGTCCCTGCCCTTCCTCCAGTTTAGCCACAGGGACATGCTTCTAGGAAAGAGTTCTTAGAGCCCAAGTTCATTCCTGTGCAGATTATTCAACTCAGGCTTTCTTAGATACTCATTTTTTCCCATCCAGATACGCCTCAAGTTTTGTGGATTTACCACTCCTACTCAGGAATCCTTTTCTCGTTCCTCATTCACTCTGCAAAATGCCTGGTTAGCAATGCACTCTCTTCCCTGGACTGGCGGTTTCCCCCATCCCCATCCTCAGCCAGTCCCCCTCCTCTAAAACTCAGATCAGGATTTGTCTGCCCTGCTGCTAAGATGCAGGCCAGCTTTGAACTTTGAGCTGTCTGCCTTAACATTTAGGCCTCACTTGAATGGATTCCTTTCCCTGAGGATCCAAGCCCGGGTTTTGCTCCTCCCCAGCCATCAGTCTTCCCGTTGCACCCATCTTTCATAAAATGGAGCCAGCAGCCCCGCTTTAGGGACACCCCCTCCCCCCTGTTCCCTCCACTCCAGGAGTCTGCACCCCACTTCCATTTCCCTCCAGCCCCCACCCTGCATAAAGTTGCGTGATCTGCCGAAGTGTCTATTTTTGGCTTGGGGCCCGGTTTTACAGCCCCGGCTATAGGTCTTGGCAGTCATAACTTTGGCTCTCCGGAGAGCAAAGCCGGGTCCAACAGCCTTCCCCACCCCAGAGAGGGGGTCCCGGGGCTCCCTCTGCAGCCTCAATCCGAAACCTGCTCCTCACCTCACTTGGTCTGATGCCTGGGAACCCAAGCCTGCTTCTTGCCCTACTTCTCTAAGTCCACCAGCTGCAATGGAGTTGTTAGATGGTGAAAATCCATGCCGGGTTTTTACTCTTTCAGAGAACATAAAATTCAATTTTTCTCCCGCACCCCCTCCCCAAAAGCAAGACTTTGAGGCGTTTATAGATACAAACCTCCCCCTAACGCTTCCCTCCGCCCCTCCTGCCCGGTCAGCTCCAAGCCCCTGTCTCGGTGGCCCAGGATCTTCTGCTGAGGGTCTCATCCCGTCCCGCGCGCTCCAGTCCTGGCTTTGTGTGCCTCCCTCGCCTTTTATTGTAGGTCTGGTCTCCCAGGGTACCGGCCTCATCGCATTCCCCTCGCAGCGCCTCTGGATCCAGAAACCGCTTTTACCTGTCCGCTCCGGTGCAGCCAGCGCGCCGAATCCCTTCGTACCCGAGTCCAGCCCTCCTTTTGCCCCTCCCCCTTACACGTCGCTGCCAGGAAGATGAGGGCAACCCAAGTCGCCTCAGACACTAAGCATCCCCCCTCCAGAACACCCTTCCCATGAGAACCCAGGTCCCGGGAATTCCGGGCCGGGTCTTGCTTGTTTCCACTGCGTTAGGCCTGACGCATTACTCCGTCTCCCGAGAAAGAATCCGGCCCGAAATTTGCGTGCCCCGGGTGCATTTGGCCGTGTCGCATCTACCCCCGAACCACCCACCCCAACACCCGTTCCTCACATCTTTATCTAATCCAACTCGGGTTTTGCACAACCCTTCCAGATCTCCCCATTTGCGCCCTCCTTTCCCGGACTCGGCGCCTTTCCTTTTACTTCGCTGGAAAATCCTCTCCGGGTCTTCCTTACGTCTGTCTCCCTTCCCCCACTCCCCGCTCCAACGCGGGGCTCCAGCACGTCGCCTTCCTTCTCCCTGCTTTTCCAGAGAGAAGGCGAGAGGAGGCGAAGGGAAGGAAAGTCCAGCCCGGGTTTTCGGGCCGGCTCCTGGGGTGCTCAGGCGGGTTGCGGCGGCCAGTCCCGGGCGGCGACTCCGGGCCGGGTTTTTTGCGCGCCCGCCGCCCCCCTCCCGGAGCGGGTGCGCCGGGGAGCGGGGCGAGCAGGCGGCTTGTCATTGCTGGTGCCCGGCGCCGGCTCGGTCCGCGCGTCCTGCGGTGCCCACGGGCCCGGCCCGGCGCCCCCCCTCCGGCCGCAGCGGGGGCGCGACGCCGCGGCACCCGCCTCCAGCCGCGCCGCCCCCCCTCCGCCAGCTCCGCGCCGCCCACCCCCAACCCGAGCCCCCCGCGGCCACTGCGGGGAGCCCGAGCCGTCGGCGCGGGAGCTGTCGGCGCTGCGGCGCCCCCGCCCCGCCGTCTGCCGAGGAGGCCCCGGCTGATGGGGCCGCGCGGGCCCCGGAGCGGCGCCGCCGGGCGGCGGGGGCCTGCAGGGGCGCCCCGGCTGCCCCGTTAACCCCTCGGCCATCGCCGCCGTCGGAGGGGGCTGGGAAGTCGCCTGGGCGCACACGTGCCGCCTCCGTCGGGGCCGCGGAGCTGCGGGGGAGATGCGGGCCGCTGCCGGCGCCGCCTCGGGGCGCTCCGCCTCGCCCCAGCCCCCGGCGCTCTGACGCCGCCCCCGCCCCACCGCCTCGCTCCCCGGGAGGGGCGCAGACCCGATCGCCCCCAGTCCCGAGCCTCCGCCGCCGCGAGGGGGCCGCCTTTGGTTCCGTGTAATCCGCCTCTTTTTTTTTCTTTTCTTTTTTTTTTTTTTTTAATTTTTGGTCGGTGGCGGCGGTGCTGGGCTAGGGGAAGGAAGGGACACGGAGGCCGCCCTCGCCCCGCCACCTCCTATCCGCTTCCCCTCAGCCCCGGCTCCGGGAGATGTGCCGGGCGGGGGGCCCGGGTTCGCGGAGCCGCAGAAGAGACACGCTGGGCCGACCCCAGAGCGGCGCTGGACAGGTGAGTGTCTGCGGGCCCAGGGCGAGGGGCGACGCCGCACCTGGGCCAGGTGTGCGGGGCGCGCGGAAGAGGGGAGGCGGGAAGGATGGGAGCTGGGGCCTGTCCTGGCCGCGAGGGGGGAGGGGACGCTGGAGCCGCGCGGGGCACTGCACCTGAGCGGGAGGGGCGTCGGGGGCAGCCCGCACCTCACCCCCACTGGCTAGGGGCCCGGGAGGGGCGGCCCCCACGGAGCGCCCGGGGCGCGGGGGTGCGGACGGGTGGCCGCAGGGTGCCTGGCGGGGGGAGGGGACCGCGAGTGTGCCCGCGCGTGGTTGCGTGTGCCCGCGCGCGCGCCAGCCTTTGTGGGGAAGCGGCGCGGCGGTGCCTGCGTGTCCCCGGTGCGTGTGCGCGCGGGTGCTTGGCGCTCTGTTTGTGTAGGTGTCTGGGTGTGAGCGGAGGGGGTGCGTGTGCGCGCCGCGCGCCGGTCCCGGGCCTCGGAGGAGCCGTGGCTGGCACCACAAGATGCTGGGCGAGGGGGTTGTTTTTCTCTGGGAGGCAGTGGCGCGGGGGATGGGGAGGGGTCTGTCTGGGTGTCGAGCTGACCGCAGTCCGGGGGGCGCCGCTGTCAGGAGGAGGGGGTGCAGCCAGGCAGCACCTTCTCTCCGTGGTGCCGGGTTAAAGCACGGGAGGCCGGCAGGTTTGATCCACCGGGATTATTCGTGCTTTGAGGACAACTCCCCACCCCCACCCCAGGTGCGCATTTGATTGAGCTACCAAGGTTCAGTTGTCATCCTCCCATATGATGGTCCTGGGACCCGAGTCCAGGCCTGAAGTGGTGGGTTGGGGAGTGCTGTGTTTGTTCCAGCCGTGTCCAAAAAGTGCCCTCCCAGGTATCTCTCCCGTGCACCCCTGGCCCCCATCTGAAGACAGCCGCTGGCTACACACACCCCTGTCACTACACTTGGAGTCCGGGTCCTCACACTGCCCCATCCCTGGCCAGCATCTCACTGTACCTGCCTGGACCCTTTCCTCCTGTTGCAGCCCCCATCCACCTCCACCCATGGCAGCCGCGTGGGTGTCTCTATTCCCAGTTCCAGGCAGGGCCCCCCTTTCTGCCTGGCTTCCACCGGACTCAGAGCTGGGGTCTGTCTTCCTACATCCAACAGCCCAACGTGTGTGCCTGGGGGCAGGAGGGGGAGGGGTTCAAAATGGCTGCCAAGATGGCTGGCTGTCTCTCTCTCTCTCTCTCTCTCTCTCTCTCTCTCTCTCTCTCTCCCCTCTGCCTTTATATCTCTCTCTCTCCTCCTCTCTCTGCTTGCCTGGCTCCCTTAGCCTGGTATGGAGTCACCGCTTAGAGGAAGTTGGACCTTGGGGGGCACATCTGAGGGTGAATGTCTATTCCGGACCGTTGACCTCCGTGCTGTTTGGGGACAGGCTATTGGTTTCTGCTTCTCTTTCCAACACCCCAAGGGCTGGCATGAGTCTAACCTGACCCCAGACCCCACTCCTTCACCCTGGCTCGCAGCCTGGAAGCTCCTTGCCCTCCACCTGTTCTCCAGGGCCTGGACCCCTGAATTGATCACCCCCGCGGAGGGTCCACACCCCTCATTCTCTTCTCTAATCTGCCCCACGGCCTGGGGGGCAGGGGACTCTGCGTGGGCCCCTGTCAGGCCCCAGCTTTGGGGGGCAGGTGACTTCTTCCTCCCTGCTCCCCTCCCACTAATGCCAAATTTATTACTTAAAAGTAGGATGAAAACAGGGAGAATAAGAGAAGGATTCCAACCTTCATTATCATATCGAGAAAATTATCCGTGATTTTCCTAACTAGCAATTTGCCTGCCATGCCGTTCAGAACTGACTTGCCCATTAATTACAGAGATGAAAAATCATCTGGAATTCGGAAAAGGGAACTAATTCCATGGCTGGCAGCGATCGCACCCGTGTACACGGAGCCACATACTCGTGCAACATACGTGTGCACTCACATGTGGGTGCCGGCCCTCCTGCTGGTCTTGCCACCATCTTCCTCCCTAGCTTGGTGACCTCCCACATGGCCTCGCTCAGTCCACCCTGTGTGTGTAGCACCTGCCCTGGGACGCCCCTCCAGGCGCTCGCTCTCTCTCCAAGGGGCACCCGTCTCAATCCCCACTTCTGGGGGGCTTGCGTACCCGGTGATCACCCATGCTGATGCCTGCTCTTGGGGGTGTAGCTGGCGTGCAGGGTTGGGGAGGATGGGGAGCTGGGGACCAGCACACCTGGGCTGTGGAGCCTACAGGGAGGGAGGGGAAGGCAGGGACTTGAAGCCCAGCTTCTATTCCCAGCCTGCCCAGGGGAGCCCTTTCTCCTGGGGGACCTAGGAGGACCCTGTGGACACATTGGGGAGGAGCCTACAGGCGCCTCAGCTCCTCGGGAGTGTGTTTGCATCCAGCGGTTTGGGCTCCTGGCCGGTGGCGTCTCCACCTGCATGCGAGGCTGCGTGATGCGTGTGTCTCGGGGCGTCTGTGTCCTCCCTACCCTGCCAGGCTGGTGGCAGAACGTGTGTTGCTTCAGCCCCAGTGCAGGCATCTCGGTGGGGAGGGTGGCAGCGGGTACCCCTCAAGAGGAACCAGAGGAGTGGGAGCAGTGCCATCCCTGCCAGAGCATCGTCTTTGCCCTCCACCCCCTCCTGCCTCCCCGGCGAGACGTGTGGCCAAGGACACACAAGGCTCTGGTTTCTGTGTGGGTTCTTCTCACGGATCTGATTTCCAGATGCCAGACGCTTCCCCTCCTCCAGCCCCTCCATGGGGAGGCAGGGGGAGGGACTCCCAAGGTGGGGGTTCCCTGGGTCTGAAACCCTGACCCCAGTGACCCTGGAGGTGCCGTGGCAAGACAGACAGCTCCTCCCAGGCTGGGTTTGGGGCAGAGTGGTTGCTATTGGGCACCCTGGTGGAAGGGAAGAGACGGGTCCTAGAGTGAGGCGGGAGGCCAAGTAGAAACATGGAGGGGTCCCGGTGTCCCCAGAATCCAGACGTCTGTCTGTCTGCACCTGTGCATAGGTGTCATCTGCCTGTGTGGCCTGGATGGTGATCTAGCCAAGGACGCATGTGGCCACGTGTCTATCAGGCTCATCCAGTGTTCATAAGGGTCCCTCGTGTGCTGGTGTTTGTGTTTTGCAGAGGGGGTGGTCATGCTGGGGGACTCGGGGCTGCAAGAAGGAGCAGCTGTCTGTGTGCACACATGGGACTGTCTGCATCTTGTGTGCACCTGCAGTTGTGTGCTCAGGACTCCTTTGAGTGAGGCTAGGTGCACCTCGTCATGCAGTTTGCACACACTTGCCAAGTGCTTTCCCCACCCAGCACCATACGGGTGGCGCCATGGAGGGTGGTGGCCACGTCCTGTCCTTGTGGAGCTCACGTTCTAGCAACACATATGGGGTTTCCGTCAAAGCTCTCCTATCGGCTGGGCATGGTGGCTCATACCTGTAATCCCAGCACTTTGGGAGACTGAGGCGGGTGAATCACCTGAGGTCAGGAGTTTGAGACCAGCCTGGCCAACATGGTGAAACCCTGTCTCTACTACAAGTACAAAAATTTAGCCAGGTGTGGTTGTGCGCATCTGTAATCCCAGCTACCAGGGAGGCTGAGGCGGAAGGATCGCTTGAATCCAGGAGGCGGAGGTTGCAGCGAGCTGAGATTGCACCACTGCACTCCAGCGTGGGTGACAGAGCGAGACTCAGTCTCAAAAAAAAAAAACAAAACCCCAAAACAATAAAGCAAAACTCTCCTGTCATGCGAGTTGGGGAGAAGGCATGTGTCTCCTTTTCAAGGGCAGCCCCAAATTCTGACTGCAGTAGTCCACACAGGCTTGGGCTGTCCTGGGGTCTGGCCCTTCACTGCCTTTCTGGGCCACCTCCTCCCTCCTCATTGCTCCTCCAATGTGCTAAGCGTGATCCTACCCCAGGGCCTTTGCACTGGCTGTTCTTCCACCTAGGACCCTCCCCTAGATATTTGCGAGGCTTTTTCTCCCCCACCCTCTTGAAATATCACCTCCCCAGTAACGTTTACTCCTAGGCACCTTCTGCAAAGTCGCATCTTCCCACCCCCCTCCTGACGTGCAGTACAGCGGACGGCTTTTCACATAGTCTGTAATTTCCTGATGTTCTGTGCTTGTTTGTTTACTGTCTGTGTCTGTGAGGAGGATCCAAGTGTGCGAGGATGTTGTGATTTGCTTTGCTTTGGGAATCCCAGGTGTCAGCAGTCATCGCTGGCCCACAGTATGTGTTCAGGAAGTCTTACCTGGCCCGGGTGTGGTGGCTCACACCTGTAATCTCAGCACTTGGGAAGCTGAGGTGGGAGGATTGCTTGAGGCCAAGAATTTGAGATCAGCCTGGGCAACACAGCAAGACTCGTCTCCAAAAAAATTTTTTTAAATAGCTGGGCGTCGTGAATATGCTCCTGTAGTCTTAGCTGCTCAGGAGGCCGAGGTGGGAGGATCGCTTGAGTCCAGAAGTTTGAGGCTGCAGTGAGCTATGATTGCACAAGTGCACTCCAGCCTGGGTGATGGAGCAGGATCCTGACTCAAAAAAAAAAAAAAAAAAAGCCCCCCCCCCCTCCCGCCCCCCGTTCCAAAATTGGGGGGAAGATAAAAAATCAATGAATAGATGCCGAGGCCAAAAATAGCCTTCCCCCCCCCCCAAAAAAAAATACTCAGAATAGCCAGTGCCCCTCCCTCAGAGGCTAAAAATACCCTGCAGGTCACAAATGATCAGGCCAGGAAGCCAGGTAGATTGTCCTTCCGGTCCCTTAAGGAGGTGAGGGGCCTGGGGCTGGCTTTCCCAGACAGGATTTCCCAGACGATTTCCATTACTCCTGACTTTGGCGCCACGCCATTCTCTGTGGGAGGCTGTCCTCTGTACTATAGGATGCTTGGAGGCCACCCTAGCCTCTGCCCGATAGATGTCAGTGACACCCCCGCCCCCACAGTTGTAACACCTCGGAAAGTCTCCAGACATTGCTAAACATACTAGGATCCGGGGCAGAATT